ATTTGTTATTTTTCACCTTATAGCAGTGTTGTGTGTGAGTGGTGGGGTTTTATGATGGGTGATCACGCGCTTAATGCATGTTGCTGCACATTTCACACGCAACAGGTTTTTTTGGTTGGTTGGTTTGTTTCTTTTCTTTTTCAGTTTGCCCAGCAACGATTATTTGATTTCTTGTTGTCGTTGGTTTTTTTCGATTTTCTGTTTAAATATTCATAATATTTTTATATAAGTACATACATATGTATGTGAGTTATAAAAATATCTTTACAACAACTGGTTGCTCCTTTTTATGGTAGCTATAAACAGAAGTTATAATCTGGTTCTTAATGGCGCTTATAGGCTATTTTTGTTTTGGTCCTTCGTTTATGGCATTAGTAGATTAGTGTTGTTTTAGCGATGGTTACAGGTAATCGTTTTAGTTTACACATAATTGCATGTTATATAATAAGGAGATTTCTTAATGTTTGATAACCGTTCGAATTTAAAACAGTTTCTTTTTTTTTTTTGTATGGGTAGTTAAAACTTAATTGATAATTATTAAAATTTGACACGTGTGCCATGCACAATACTGCAACCGAATTAAAAATTATTAAGATACATGCAACAATTGCTCAATTTGTTAGGTATCATAACTAAATTGTATTTAAGCACAATTCAGACGAGTCGTCATTGTCATAAGTACCATCAATTTTTAAAATGTGTTAAATGATGTGGGAACTTAAACTCCTTTTACATTAGAACTTTTTACCGGGGTTAACCTACTTTATGAGGATTTATTTGACATATATGGAAAGGAAATGGCAATTGAAACCCACTGGGTTAACGAAATCCGGTTAAATGTAAACGTACTGTTAGTTATGTATATTTATATAATTTGCTGGAAGAAACTAATATAGTAATAGAAAGACCAAAAATGAAATAAATAATACATATGATGTTGTTTGCATTGTCAAAAACAGCTGATATATATATATATATCTAGTTATAGGTTATGTCATATAAAAAACTGACGGGTGCATAAGCAGAATTTTGTTTGAAATTATCATGTGTTTTATTTCATACATGATAATTTCAAACCAAATTCTGCTTATGCACCCAAGAAATAATCATTTCTCCTTAATGTATGCTTCAAAATACCCAAAAATTCAAAACAGTTGCCAAACAAACAATTGTCAGCTGTTTTTTATTTACAGTGAACAGCAGGGATTTGATACCTCGATTTACAAATCTAGTCGATTTAGACGGCATAGTCTAAACTCGCCTATAGTTCATGTCTTATGAATAATACCATTATGCAATAATAAGGTGATGTATCAAAACAGAAAGCTTTGTTTTTGTCTCGACCATCTGTCAAATTTTTCCTTATAATATTTTACATGGTTGGCAACATAGCACATCGAAATTACGCACTTTTACACATTGTGAATTGACTTCCAAATTTTTGCATTATATTTCTGAAAAAAAAAACAGCTGACTGGCTGGGTGACCTTATTAATAGATTTGTTATGGGCTTTGAGTTATCATTATTGATCTTAACTTTGTATGTAAATTTTACACACATATCAAATAATTTGTCCATATCTCACAGTCAATATTTACATAAAAATGCTAATTTGATTCGATTTCTATTTCGTTAATGATTGTCATTAACAAATTATTGATATTAGTTTTGGCTATTAAAACAGATGAATCAAATTATATTCAATAGTTATTGGCTACCTGATATTTTGTGCAATAATGTTGGCAACTCGCAAAACTAGTTTGTTTTTTATTAAAAATGCTTAATAAAATTAAATCCAAAATCGAATAAACTTGTTTTCATTTTTTAAAAATAACATTCAAGCCTGCAAAAACGCAGAGATTAAAAAATAAACAGCCTGTTTACACCGAGGTTTTTTAATATAACGCATGTTTTATCAGCTGTTTTAATGTGTTAAAATTTGTTGTAAATATTAACATAATACATTGAATTAGACTTTTCATTTAACCGATGAAATCAATATTTTCAGATTATAAGGCACAATTGCCCTATGCTTTATAATTTAATACAACAATTGTTATATTATAATGTCTATTCAAATTTGAAAATATAATTAGGAAATTTGTGTGTTTTTAATGATACAGCTGATTTTGACAATCATATTAACATACCCACACATGAATTTTTTTTTAACCAATTTTATATTTTCAATATATTAATATAAAACAAGAAATTGTGTATATCAGCTGATATGATTTATAGATCAGCTGATATGCGTTATATTTTGAATATTACTTGGAAACCAAGCGCTATTTTTCAATAAAATATGATCAATGCTTATGTTACGATCATTTTAAATAGAAAATATGTATATTATCAATATCTACTGCATTTAAACATGCAACAAACTCATATTTCTTCGAAATTTCAATCACATCTGCATATATAATTCCATCTGGCATTTGTTGCTTTCATTCCATTTGCATTTCTCCCTTCATTACACACATTAAATTTTTTATGTATGTTTCCCTTCATTACACACATTAAATTTTTTTAAATTTATTACCAGACATTGCGTAGGCGTATTTTCATTTTTCCGAGGCCTTTTTCTTCTTGCGGCAAATGAAAATAAAAGCGAAAAAATAAAACAATTGAAAAAATGAATTGCAATTTAACAACAACATCAGAAACGTGAAATCATGTGAATATCGATATCATAAATAAGATTTAATGGTTTAATTTTTTCATATTTTTTGTGACTTTGCAAAATAATAATATCTGATTTCGTCGGAAGAATAACAACAATTTCTTGGCAATTTTGGTAAAATTCCATTGAATTATAATTTTATAACAAATTTTTTTTGCAATTTTTGTAGAAAATCTACTATTTCCAATTCCATTGAATTATAATTTTACATAGGACAATATGATATAATACTTAGGATACATTTGCATCGATTATGTTATATGATCTACTATTTCCACAAAACACGTTCGCATTCGGGCGGAATTACACGGAACTTGTTTTAAGATAAATCACCATTTAATCGTTCTTGTAATTTCCTTTGTACACATGCCAAATAAATTTAAAACATATTTGCTATAGTGTACCCATGGCACAATAAATAGGTAGTCCATTTAGAGCAGCAGATGTCTCGAATAACTATCAAAGTCCGTAATTTCTACTTGCATTCGATGTGCAATGTTGCCAACCATGTGAAATATTATATGAAAAAATTTGACAGAAGGTCGAGACAAAAACAAAGGGGTTTGTTGTGATACATCACCTTATAATTGCATCATGAGTGTACCCTTTCAATTGAATTTATAGTACATTTACATTGTATCGGATTTAGATATTCCTGTAGGTTTAAATTGTCAATTCCATTGTATAATGTTAAATAAAGTATGTCAATCCTGTAAATGTAAATGCCGTTTTAACGTACTATTACAATTAACACATTTTTCTTTATTATTTTTAAAATTAAAATACTTCGGAAACATAGCATATGTTTTAATGGAAAGTAGTTAAAAGTGATACTATGTCAAATGTTAAGCCAAAACACATACGCAGCTTCTTTCTTTAGCGTCATTTAGATTGTTCTAAATACAAAATAAAGCATTTCACAAAATTTGGACCGCAATCACCCATTAATTGGCAGCAATAATCAAAACAATCGGTATTTGAATATTTTGCGCGACACGTTTGCCAATAACCACCTGACACACAAAAGAAATGCAAAAAAAGTTTATAGACCGAACATTTTATTGGGAGAAAACAAAATGTCGCCGCCTGTTATGGCGTTCAATTTGAAAAATGTACTTAATTAAATACTTGGCAGAGGACAAATCAAACACAAAAAAGAAACACAAATTCAAACAAATTTAGTTACTTTTTATGAATTCATTTCGAAGGCGTTGAAATGACAAAAAAAGTTCTGGCGCCGCCAAATATAATTCACCTTATCACCTTAACGATTGCACACAAAAAAAGAACATCTCCGAACAACTGAAATATCTTACATATGCTGGTCAGGGCCACCACCAAATGTATTGATGCTGAAAGCACAAAACAAACAAAATATATATTCCACTTCATTGCAATTTGATGTCAATGTACGGATTTTCTGTTGTTCTTCACTTACTTTTTTTATTTGGGGTGTTTCGTTAATTTGCAACCAATTGACTTGATATTTTTTAAAACGCAAATCTTTAAATTGTTCAAAATTATTCAATTGTAGAATGCATGGCTCGTGCGGATAAAAATAATTGACTTCAATATCAGATTACGAAATTTAAATTAAATAAATCCCCTGAGAGTTTCAATATTATTTTCAAATCCACCTAGGATTATTTATTCCAAATGCAAATTTTTACAAATAAAACACGTCGATAGTGGGAAAACAGAGTTGTATTTTATTTAGCAACATCGACTTTTGTGTGGCCGTGTTTACACTGTTCACCTTTTCATAATGGAAGTTAATGCACAATAATGAATTTTGACAAGAAACTAGAGAGTCAGCTGATATCCAGCTGGTCTCCCTGGATGGCCTTATTAATAAGACTAAGATATTTTCATGGCACAATAAATAGGTAGTCCATTTAGCGCAGCTGATGTCTTGATTAACTGTCAAAGTGGATAATTTCTACTTGTATTCGATGTGCAATGTTGCCAACCATGTTAAATATTATATGGAAAAGTTTGACATATAATCGTGACAAAACAAATGTTTTTGTTTTGATACATCACCTTATTATTGCATCATGGATATTTCATAAAGAAAAAACATAAAGAATATTTCGATAATACCTTCTAAATCGAGGTAATAAATCCCAGCTTTTTACACTAGCATTAAAATAATACAAAGTCAGTTAACTGATATTTTTTACGATACATACTCAATTCTAAGAGCAATGTTCTAAACGCGCTTTATGATATTTTTTAATGAATTTATTGAATAATTTTTAAATTGAATAATAACATTTTACTAATTATTTTCTCTCCTTCCCTTTCTTTCAGCCATCCACGTAAAAAAGTGATATTTGCCGATGATGAAGGTCTATCGTTGACCCAAGTACGTGTCATGTCTGAGCCCTCAAATGTGCCACCTTATTGGAGTATGAAATTTTTGGAACAAATTACTCAAGGTTTGGTTACACCACATCCTGCCGATCAATGGACCGTTGATTTTAAACAACCTGCCTCCGATTATTTGGTCTTTAGGTAAGGCATATATTTCTCCAAAGTAAATAAAAAAAAAACTTATTTTTATTTTCTCTCTTTTTACAGACAAACCATAGAACGTGATTTTGTATCACTTGAAAATGTCATTGTCAAGGACGAAGAATCAATTGTGGTGGGCACGGTTAAGGTTAAGAACATATCCTTTGCCAAAGAGGTGGTTGTACGCGTAACCTGGGACGATTGGAAGAGCCAGCAGGATATCTTTTGTACCTATAATCGAGCCTATGGCCCAGCCACATGTGCTCATGTTGTCTTCGATACATTCTCGTTTAAAATAACCCTCCCACCATCTTCCAAGCGCTTGGAATTCTGTATTTGCTATCGTGCCGATGGTCAAGAATATTGGGATAATAATGGTGGTAAAAATTATACAATTACCAAACGTTCGCCCTTCTATTACAATGCCCTGTCGCCATATGAAAAGAATAATAGCACATCAAACATGCGTAATTCTGCTTCATGCCAGAGTCAAGTAAGATCGGCGTTGAGTGCAGCTTTGGCAAATAAAAATCCTGATTCGCAGCAAAATTGGCAACAGGAACCAAGTCCTTATTGGTAGAGGCGTGGTGAATATGATGACCATAGGACTATGAAGCAAAGTTTAATTAAAAAATAAACTTGTACAACAAAAGCTTTTAGAGCTTTTTTAAAAAGAAAATAGAGCTGCAGAGCTTTATTTTTAAATGAAAACCCCCCACAGAGCTTTAAAGTTTTCCCTTTATTGAAAGAAAAGCATAATCTATATAAGATATAATGATGATTATTATGTATGTACATTAACTTTATCGGAAGGAAAGAAAGAGGGGCTTAGGAGGAAGAAGAAATTGAAGAAGAAATGTATCAAAAATTGAGGTCCAAAGCGTGTTTTTGTAGGACGTAAAGCAATTCGAGCTTACAAAAATATGTATAATGAAAAGACCACAAAATTTTATAATATTAATAAGAAATTGAAAGAGGAACAAAGGTTCCACTTTGAAAATAATTCACTTAGAGATTTTATTAGGAGTGTTAATCCCAATTAATCCTAAAAAATTCTCTTTTGAGGTTACTACGAGCCCAGTTAGAATATTGTTTATGCCTAGAAAATAACTATTCTAAAAAGTTTTTGGGCACGAAAGAAAAACATCTGATTGCAAGCTTTCACTAGAAATGTATTACAGTGAATTGATGTTTGATTATGATCTCCTTTGCTGTTTGAATGTTTTTTGTCAAGTATTTATGTCCATTTTTTCTCGTTTTATTTGTCTATTGTGATCTCTACGAATTTCTGTTTTGTATTGATCCTTCAAATATGTAATGTCAATTTTTTTTTCGAAATTCAAATCTCACGGTTTGCAATTTATAAGTTTTTTGATTTGTTTCTATCAAATTTCATATCAAACAAATGTCATAATTGACATATTATTTAATGACATTTGTTAGATATGAAATTTGGATTGAATTAAGGATTGAAAATTTAATATTTCCATATGTCCGAATTTATCTATTTGCAACATTTTGTGTCATTTAAATACCCACGTTTACACACAGCACCTGTAGAGTTGCCAACACATGAAGCTGTTTGGCCACATTTTAAACACAAACTACGTTTATTGTAACCAAGGTCTATAAATAAGGTCGTCCAGGGAGATCAGCTGGATATCAGCTGCCTCTTAAGTTTGCTGTCAGAATTCATTATTGTGAATTGGCTTCCAATTTGAAAACGTAAACAAAAACCAAATGTTTGACATTAGACTTGAGAAAAAACAGCTGACTTTCCCTAGCTGGGTTACCTTATTAATAGATCGGGATTGTAACTGTGTGTGATGTGTGGCCAACCAGCCATGTGAAGAATTCCCTGAACAGTTTATGATTTCCTAAATTAGATTTACGAAAATCACTCGATTTCAAATATCAATTCCATAGCGTATATGTCGAATATAATCCAATGGATTTGTGAACATGATTAAGGTGACGCATGTACGCTTTGGAATTGACATTTGAAATCAAGTGGATTTAGTAGTCTAAACGCGCTCTTATGTCAAAATACTGTCCGTTGAATTATGTTTTATTTCAAAATAAAACTGAAACCATGATAATTATTTTCAAAAAATGTTGATCATTGAAGTCTATAATTATAATTATAGTTTTGTTTTATTTTCTAATTTAACATGTAAAATTAGAATATATGTTTATGATGACATTTGTGTCAAATGCTGGAGATCAAATCAAACTCACTTCGACTTATTCTGAAATTGGCAAAAATATAAATTAAAGCAGGGTTTATATAAAGGAAATACCCAGTCAGTCACCATAGTCCAACCGACTGTGACCAAAAATAAAATGGGGAGCTGACAAATTTATTTTTCAAATTCCATATAAAATGAACATCAGCTGTAAAACACTATTTTTGTTAATGGGCAAATATTCCTTAACAAATATCCCCATTGAAAAATCTCTCCATGAAAATACTTTAAAATTAACAACTACTACTACTTTTTGATATGACTAAAGAATTTAAATCCAAACCACAAATAAAAAATTTAACTACATATTTTTTAAATGCCCCTCAAAGCTTGATATAATGAAAAAACAAAAACAACTATATAAAAAATTAATAACGATTTTAAAACGTTATGGTCATAAAAATATTTACACATGACTTTAAGTTAAATTTTGTTTATATGTATGTAATATTTTATTTGTTTTTATTATGTTTACTTATCATTTTTTAAAATTATTTTTTTGTTTCTTTTTTCAATACAAACCCAAAAAATATATTAAAAACAATTACAAAATTTCTAGAATTCTTCGAATATGTGGCCCTTTTAATATAAAAAAAAATCACCCAATGTTTTAAATTATGATTTGTATAGGTATTTTTTTATTTTTATATAATTTTTTTATTAACTAAACATCAAAACAAAAAACTAGAAATCCTGCAACTTGAAAGACTGAAATTTGTTATTGATGAAAAGAAACAAAAAAACGTATCCCCCATACCAACTTTTTTTAAATGTCATTACATGCTTGTGTTTTTTTATGTCCATTACATTAATTTTTTTGTGAAAATCCTCTCTCAAAAAATATCGATAAGATTCAAATGTGTTTCGCCAATATATGTATGTGTTTTATCTACAATGATTTTTTTTATTATTTTTTAAAACAATTTATGTATTTTTTTATTTGTTATTTTGAAATTATTGAATGTATATCATTTACTTAGTTTGTAAATAAACAATAAAACACTATTTGCAAATATATACATACATCTAGTTTTTAATTATTATATCCTGTGTAATATTCTAATTCTAAGCGTTTTTTAGTTATATCCAGTAAGCCATAGTTGTTCGTTTTTTATTTTATTTTTTATTAATTATATTAAAGAACTGTGCGCCGCCGCTTGATGTGAACAGATGATTTTAGAAGGGCGTTCAATGCTATTATTTTAATATACATTATACCTTCTTTTTTTTCTTTTAATGCCATATATACATATTAGAAAATAGATATTAAACAAAAATATAAAAAATAAACGATATATATTTTTTCTAAAAATAAATAATGTTGTTATTTGGGTTCATTTTTGTTGGTTGAAAAAAAAATACAATTCACACAAATGTGCTACGTTAAGGACTCGAAGGTTGAGCGCATGGCTTTCGTGCAATCTTTAATTATACAGCTCAAAATCGATCGTTTCTTTTTTTATATCCTGAATGCAAGAAGTCAATTTAGAATTTGACATTTCTGTCGAACATCGACGCATCCCCACCGTCCATATTTCAAAATTTCTTGAGGTTGTTTCCATAATTTCTGGGAAAGCGCAATTTCTAAAAAAATCTATGTCGATTTAGCCATGATATTACAAAAGAGAATGTAATATTTGGAATAGAGATTTGGTATGACAGTTACTCTGAAGCGGGTGTTCAAAAAAAAAAAAAAGACGGATCCGCATTTTTTACAATGAAAGCACGCATTTCTAATTTTCCATTGTATACGAAGGAGATCGACACAAAATTTAGCATGTGTTCATAACAGAGATGGAAGTTTCCAAAACATTAAAATTTTTTCTGTTTATACCGCGCTTTTTGTCCTAGACTACGAACTGGCTTGAATTGAGTACCGTTTAGTATTATATTTCATGATTCGAACTCTATAGGTTCGCCCTAATCCAAATTTAGTACCATTTAGCACACATTAATATAAATTTCCATAAATACCCACCTCAACAATCCAATAGAAATCATATTTTTCAATTTCAGGAGGGTTACTCTGTATTGCGTTGCGAAAGCAAGTGCCCAATAGCGCAATCCTACATCTCAACAACCAATAGAAATCGTATTTCCCAGTTTAAGATTCCAGCCTTATCGGATCCGAAAAGATCCTGCCTAGGTTGACCTGGGACATCGTAGAATCCCCCTTCCCATCCGCCAACCATGAAGACGCGCCTTGTAGGAGATTGGCAACTCCCCTAGGAGTTGCCTATCTCATCCCAAATTTCAAGATTTTAGCTTCAACCTTTTCGTCTAGCCGTTGAAAATTCCTTAAGTCAGCCAATCAGCCAATAAGTCAGTCAAAACTTTTGTTTATTGTTTTCCAAGTTTCATTTTTACGTAAGATTTCTAAAAATTTTCTTTAAATTGACATGTCCATAGAAATTGAACCTTTCTTAATATGTCTTTAATAACTACTGACTCCCTAATGGTCTTCTGTAGAAACATAATTTCTACGTTATCATTAAAAATGCTTTAAAATAAAACAAAATTGTAGTTGTTGTTTTTTATAATAATTTTACCGGCTGGCTGAATTATTTATTTAGTTCTTTGTTTCGGTTTTTTCTCCTGGGGGTTTTATGGTAGTTTTGGTTTGATATTGGTTGTATATGAACATTTAAATAAACAATTACAATTAAGATACAAACTAATATCAACAAAAATCACTCTACAATGAACATCAAAATAGGCGTAAAATTAGGGGATACAGTTGATGGATGACGTTAAAATATTAAAAGCGGGTGGACAGTTAGTGTTGGACATTATTTAATTTTTAAGCCGCAGTTTTCTCTCTTTTAACAAGTAACAATAAACGTAGATTAGAGTAAGGAAATGTCAAAAGAAAATGCTTTCAGAATATGGAATGAATCGTTAGGATACAACAATTTTATAAATGCCACTAACTGCTCAACTCCTTTTTTGCGTTTTATCGTAAAATTCGTACTAATTATGTGTATATTACTAATGCCCCTGATTTTTACTAAGACTGGCGTTGTTAGATAGATCACCGTACCCCGCCGCATAGCGTTGTGATAGCCGGTTAATACGTTGACATCCGTCTGATGGGTGATCTATTTTTCAATTGTTCTATAATTTGCTTTTCTAGAGTAGAATAATTTATGTTCCGTTTTGAGTTTCTGATGAGTTTTAACTTAATTAGAAGAGCTTATTAGAAAGGTGAATTGAATATCTTATTAACTGCTCCTAAACTACTGCCGCGCTGCTGCTGCTGCTGCTATAGCAGATGTTTATTGGGCCTTAGCTTCGAGCTTGGCCTTGAGGGAAGCGGGCATCTCTGGTGGTGGGGGACGGGGCAAAGCCAAAGCAACCTTGACACCATCATAGATGAACCATTGCAAGGCAGTCAATGTACCGATCATAATGATACGTGGAGTCAAACCGTTCCACATGCCCATGAAGCCCAAAGATTTGGCGACTTGGAGAGCGGTGGAGCCCTTGGCTTGGTTCAATTTGGATACAACAACATCAGCTGGGTGAGATACAATGGCGCAGAAGACACCAGCAATGTAACCAGCAGCGAATGTGACAACCAATTGTTCGCCCTTGGAGCATTCGGAACGTGGTTTGGGTACAACGTGTCTAAAAAAGAAAAAGGATTTAATTTAAAATTAATTTTCACAAATAATGGATTAATTTGTATGTGTGTGAGTGAGTGTTTTTTTTTTCTAATACTTACTTGTACAACAACTCAACGGTCTTTTCGAAGCAAGCGAACTTCATCATGGTGTATGGAATTTGTCTCATCCACAATGGAACCAATCCCTTGTAGAAACCGGCAATACCTTCCTCCTTCATGATCTTGGGCATGGCAGCGCGCATAGTAGAGGCAAAGCCAGGAGAGGTTTGAATCTTAACCTTGGCAGCTTCGAATGGAGCCAAAGCAATATCGGCAAAGAACTCAGCCGAGGCAGAAGCAGCCAAGTACAACCAGGTACGGTACAAGTAGGCATTTTCTTCACCCAAAAGGTTGGCATAGTATACTTTGAAGACTTCGTAGAAGCCGAATTTGCAGAGACCCTAATGTAAAATAAAGAAAAAAAAAAAAACAATGAGAATGTTAGATTTTGTTTCATACTGTGTTCTTTAACAATTTTCACACTAAGGCAAATTAAAAATTAAATACATTTTGGAATCAGTTTTAATTATTATATTATATATATAAAGCTTCTAAATATTATGATGCTATGGGCCAAAAAAAAACTTATTTTAAGTTTTTCTTGGCCGTATTTGTATTATCTTTTCATAACTGAATTTGGTAATAATCTCCAAACCGAAAGCTATTCCATACTTGGTTGTGAAAAGATAACATCCGTATCGTAAAGATCTAGCAAAACTACTTTTATTATATATTAGGCAGGGTGGTGTAAGAATTATTAAAAAGAAATGACTTACATCGTTCAGAATTTGTCACTGTAAATCTTTAGAAGTTAAATTACTATCTTTATAATATTTTTTAAAATCATTTATCATGGATTGTTGCGAATAATACGATTTGATTAAAGAAACAAGTGAAGGAAGTGTCAAATACGCCAAAACCATAAAGGTTCCCCTTATCTTTCCGATAAAAGACAAAACGATTCCATAATGCTTGAAACACCATATAATTGCCATAACTAGACAATGTATTAAGTACAAGGTCGCATATTTCATAAACAACAGTAATGTGAAGTATATATGTATGTTGGCTTATTTCCAATTGCGTATGTACACCTATACGAAGTGATCGACCTATTATATAAATATATGTATATATTTTTTTATCAAATTTTATTTTGACGCGAATATTATGTTGTACAACAATTCATAGAACGATGCTATAATGATATGCTAGGGTTGGGATCTTCAACAAAATTACGTTATTTTAAGTGATTTACATTTGGTCCAAAATCCTGATTTGGCATATAATAATTATAGCTAATCATGTGTTTAAAAATTATTTGTGAGAATTCTTCTATATTGGGTGAATTCTTCAATATCAATTCATTTTTCATTTATTAGAACTTTATATTTTCTCTAATCCTTAATTCGTATACCATGTAATTATTTCTGCAAAATAATCAATTTTCGCATTCTGGAATAGAGGGAATTCATTTCATACGTCAAGTGAGATATTTATAAATATTTTTTTAGATAAGATAATTTTTTTCTGAAGCGTAATCGTTATAGCACAATTGTTGTGTTATGTCATCGTGCACAAACCAAATGGATTTATTTTAATTAAGTAAATAAAAAATGTCTGAAATGAAATAACTTTTCATAGAGATAAAATATTTCCTAGGATATTAACCTGAGAAATTTAAAAATATTCAAGAAAATAAAAAAAATCCTTGACAAATTTGATAAAGAGAGATAAAGGAATCTAACTCTTTTTATGATAGGTATATCAGGATAGGTAGGTAGTTTAAAAAATATATAATTAAAAGGTAATAATATCTATAAAACAGTATTCAAAAAACGTATACAGAGGATGTACCGAATTTATGACACCCCAAAAATTATTGAAATTTTAAACTCTGAGACAATTTCGATGAAAATAAATTATGATATGCAGATATTAAGATAATAGTTAGATCAAATTTATCTTTTCTGAAAATTATTCCTAGTATTAAAATATGTTAATTACTAGGAATAATATTCATAATAGGTACACAGAGGATATACAGATTTATAAATATATCACAGATGAATGAATTTGAAAGAAAAATATAAAAAATATCTATCGTTCAATATTTGTGAGAATATTATTTGATATTTATTTAAAGATTTGTCTGCGTTGAAAATAAATACCTATTATTGATTGAAACTCGAATGAACACAACGTGTTGTACAAACGACAGCGATAAACAAGTTTTGTTTAAAATACACAAACATAATCAAAACGATTGAAGTATTCTATGCTTAGATCAATCACACATGGTGGATAAATTTCACGTGATAAAATCCAAAATTCTTTGTGCCAAAATTGTGTAGGTATAACAAATACGGTGAAAACTCAAGTGATTTTACTGATAACAGAAGCAAATGTTAAAGGCAATTAAATTGAATAAGTGTTACATTAATTTGATTTGATATACCAACATACTTGCGAATTGTAACACATATTGATTTTCCCCCACAATCCATTTTACATTGCTAACAATATACATATTATATAATATATACAGAATTATGTATTTTTTCTAAATTATATAAATTCCATTAGGAATCTTTTTATAAAAGAAAACTCACCTGAGCAGAGTAACCGTACAAAGTAGGAGCCCAGCCCTTGGCCAAACCACGCATACCCTCTTCAGCTACGGTGACCTTGAATCCATGGAACAAATTCTTGTATTTAGCCTGATCGACTTGCAAGCGGCACTTAACCAAATCCAAGGGCACAACAAAGGTATGAGTAGTACCACAGGACAGAACACCACCAATACTGCACAAAGCGAAATATTTAGTGGAACCGAATTCGCAGGAATCACCATTGTCGGGAGTGGCAGCAGCTTGAATTTGACGGCCAACAACTGGGCCGGAACCCTTGGCTGGTGTGTCGCATTGCACCTTGGTGAAGGGAGTGCGCAAAGGTGAGTTTTTGGCAGCTTCTAAGAGAGAGGCGAACATCTTTGTTTCGGTATGTATTAATCCGTTAAGCAAACTATAATAGATTTAAGAAAAAAATATAGATAAGATTATTCAAAATTTTGAAATTTAAAAAAAAATAAACTTTTAATTTAAATATAAAAAAAGAATCAACAACATTCAAGTTCAATGTCACCCAGTAACAATTTGAGTCATTTGTCCGGGACAGTGGCAAATTTTTGTTTTTGCACATGATATTTTTTAGGTTACATAACGTGGAAAATTTTCCAATCACACGAATGTCATATTTTTTGCACATCTCCATGAAAAATTGTAAATTTTTGGAATTACTTCTAATTTTATTATTTCTTCCGGTGTTACACCTTATTTTTTACACCAATTAATATATTATTTATTAATTTATTATGCAATAAATTCAAAATTTTGCACTTTATAGCACTTACAAAAATTCCAGCCAGCCACACGGAGCCACGGGTTTTGATACAAAAGTTCCAGAGACGACGGCAATGAAGCTAAAAGATTTGCACTACGACGCCACAAATATTATAAAATTGTCGCCGTTGCTCTGATTTTGCAATGTCTTTGGCACTTTCTTAAGCGTGGTACAAATTATCGAATATGATTAACAGTCGTCCATATATAAAAAACACATAGAAGTTTTTTTTTTTAATTTATCATGCAAAAACATTTCCATTGTTGTAATTCTTCGTTTCATGTTCAATTTGCAAACAAATATTTTTGCAGCAAATTTATAATTTTGCATTTACATTGAACTTGTTTTATGGAAATCTTTATTTAAGTTACGTATGTACATATTAAATGGTAATTTATTTTAAAAATAAGTTATGTTTTGTTATAAATTACTTTTTGCTATAAATAATTGGTACAATTATATAAGATAGGCAAGACATTATAAATCTTAATATTTTAGTCGTTTAAACAGCTTTTAGGCAACACCTTTTATTGCTAAATCGAGCCGAATTTATCTCACACATTTGATAGAAAATATATGCAAAAAGCGCATTTACATATAACATCTAAACATGATTAAAGGCCGAATCAGTTTTTTTTTTCATCAGGGTTCATTTTTGTAATCAGGCTGCGGCAGTGTTTATTTTAAATCATAATCGAAATCATTATACTACTACAGTTATTATACTAAATACAGTTAATTTCATAGTCTTATTAGCCCATTTGAAATTTTGAGAAATCGAAGCCAAAAGTTGAAAACTCCGTTTCTTAACGGGAATGGGAATGTTCAAAGGTGCCCCACCCGTGTCATTTTACGGAAATTTATAATAACTTTTTTTGTAGTAAATATATATGAAAGAAAATACATTAATCATGTTTGAAATGATTGTTGGAATGCAGAAAATGTGTTTAACGAAAGAAAACTATCACGGAATTCTTCCTGCGCCCTTACATCCAAAAGAATAAAAGTTTACAATAACACTGCGAAAACATGGTCACCCATGTACAATTTGCCAACAGCCAAAGAGGTTTACGCAGATAGAGAACAAGATTACCATATACAAAAATGTGGCTGCGGGTCGGAAGAATTTTAAAACAAGATTTTATGAGCGCTGTTCAAGGTGGCCCCTCTCCCCTACAACTCTCTCACAAAGTACCTAAATTTGCAACTGTTTCACATGTTATTTGTTTTTTTTTAATTTAACGGTTGCGGAATACATAAATGAAAGGTCAAAGAAAAATAGAATGTATTTATAGAATTTTATTTGTTTTTAGGTGTTTTTTTTTACTTTTCAAATGAACACATCACTGCAGAAACATTTCAATTGTTGTAATTCTTCATTTCATTTTTAAATTGCCAACAAATATTTTTGGCACAAATTAATAATATTGTGTGTATACTAACATCATCAGCTGGTAGGCATTTAGATCTTGATTGTAAATTTCTGGATTTCGTTAATGTAGTCGATTTAAAATCGTATATGTGAATGTACTTTAAGAAGACACAGCATAAACGTACCTTCCATATCTCGATTAACTCGAAATCTTATGAAAAATCAAGTTAATTTTGGAACAAAAACAGCCACTAAAAGCATGGCTCAAAATAGGTAATAAATTAAAAGTGGTTGCTAAAAATATGATATTAATTTAAAAAAATGTAAATTATGAAAATGTTGATTGAAAAATTGCCCGAGAAATTGTGACAAATAATTAAATAACAACTGAAAAATCTATTTTATTTTAATCCTTATCTCCCCAGCTAATATACCTCTATTTGCAATTCGAGTCGATTTAGAGGGCATGCCTCTATCTAAGGTCATGGTACAATTATAAAAGGTAACAGCAAATCCCAGCTGATTTGATTCCAACGTAATACTAGTGTCAATATGAATTTGACAAATTATGTTTTTTAAAATCACCCAACAGGAAAATTGGGAACGCATACAATTTGAAATTGTTCTTTATTAAATGTGCTCTTGTATTCAATTTACTCAATCTGCCTGCTGGGAAATTTGAGGAAGCAAATCTTTCTTCAAGGAATAACTCGCTATTCCCAGCATTTTCATATGTGTTACTCATATATATGGCACTGGCTCAATTATAGGAAAGATGTGGAATAGATAGAAATATAAATTTGATAGTTTTTCAATTTTTATTTTGAGGATTCGAAAATATTTCATTTTCAAAATAAAAATAATTTGATGATAATTTGTTTGTTTACATTTTTCTGTAAAATGAGTTGACACTAGTAGAACTTACAACAACAAATTTCCATGTGGTTGTTGTATCGTTTTTTGTACAACAACACTTGCTGTTACCTTCTATTATTATACCATGATCTAAGGTTTTTGTATCATCCATTGATCATGATTTATTTGGTCTGTTCCCGTACTGCAAGAATCTGCTAGATTTTACTATTTTCTTCAATGTCATAAAGGAAAATTCGTTATCGTAGTAAAAAGTAGTAGATTCTTGCAGTACGGGAACAGACCAATTATCACGTTATAAACATGAGTAAACACGCTTCACCAGATATACGTATTGTCATGGTACAATTATAAAAGGTAACAGCAAATTCCAGCTGATTTGATTCCAACGTAATACTAGTGTCAATATGAATTTGACAAATTATGTTTTTAAAAAATCACCCAACAGGAAAATTGGGAACGCATACAATTTGAAATTGTTCTTTATTAATGTGCTCCCGTATTCAATTTACTCAATCTGCCTGCTGGGAAAGTTTGAGGAAGCAAATCTTTCTTGAAGGAATAACTCGCTATTCCCAGCATTGTCATATGTGTTACACATATATATGGCAATGTCTCAATTAAAGAAAAGATGTGGAAGCGATAGAAATATAAATTTGATAGATTTTCATTCATGTTTTTCAATTTTTATTTTGAGGATTCGAAAATATTCCATTTTCAAAATAAAAATAATTTGATGATAATTTGTTTGTTTGTTTACATTTTTCTGTCAAATGATTTGACACTAGTAGAACTTATAACAACAAATTTCCATGTGGTTGTTGTATCGTTTTTTGTACAACAACACATGCTGTTACCTTTTATTATTATACCATGCGTATTGTTTGCTTTAAACTTCGTTCATTTAACTATATAGATTTACCTAGTTCATGCCCTCTTTTCAGTGAATCGCTGTTCAATAGAACTAGTTCCTTCGTGAACTAAAGAACATTATTTGCGGCATTGTTTGCGGTATTGTTGTGTATTTCAGTGAAAATATTTTTTAACACACAAAAAAACAATTAATTTGGTTATTAAAATTAAGTATTTAACATAAATATATAAAAATACACACAAACCGCCATGGCTGATGCCGCAGCAAGACAGCTGCAATATGAATACAAAGCGGTATGTATAGAAAAATTTTGTGTAAAGCTGATGCCTACATTAGCGTGGTTTTAGACGGTAAACGTTTATTGGATATATAAATTTCTAATTTTTGTATTTCTTTATTCAGAATTCAAATTTGGTATTGCAAGCTGATGTACGTTTAATTGAACGTCCCCGCCGCGATGAAGCTACAGGAGAAGTTGTATCGTTAGTTGGTAAATTGGATGGCACCCGTATGGGTGATCGCTATCAACGATCCAAGCCAGAGAAAACAGAAGAACGCAAGGCCAAACGACAGAAGCGTGATGAGGCGCAATATGATTTTGAGCGCATGAAAGGTGCAACTCTTCTATCGGAGGGTATTGATGAAATGGTTGGCATCGTTTACCGGCCAAAGACTCAAGAGACCCGCCAAACATACGAGGTTTTGTTGAGTTTCATTCAGGAAGCTCTTGGAGATCAGCCACGTGATATTCTCTGTGGTGCAGCAGATGAAATATTGGCTGTACTAAAGAATGATAAACTAAAGGATAGAGAACGCAAAAAAGAGATTGACGGTCTACTGGGATCCGTCACGGAGGAGAGGTAAATTGGAAATATTTCGTAAAATGTACAAGCGTTGTTTATGAATGAAATTTTCTTTATTCCTTAGGTTCGCCTTACTGGTAAATCTAGGCAAGAAAATTACAGACTTTGGCTCAGATGCTGTTAATGCGTTGACAGCTAACATCAATGAGGAACAAATCGATGAGACATATGGAATCAATGTACAATTCGAAGAATCCGAAGAAGAAAGTGACAACGATATGTATGGAGAAATTCGTGATGAAGACGGCCAAGAAGAGGGAGAAGAAGCAAAAATTGATCACACTCTACATGCCGAAAATGTAAATGAAAATTGATGGCTTTTATTTTTATTGTCTATATTTGTCTAATATGTGTTTCCCTTTTTCAGCTTTTGGCCGAGGAATCTGTAAATGTGAAAAAGGAACGTGGTTTACACCCTCTTGATATTGATGCCTATTGGCTTCAAAGATGCCTCAGTAAATATTACAAAGATGCTATGGTGTCGCAAAGTAAAGCAGCTGATGTTTTGCGCATTCTTAAGGATGCTGCAGATGAGCGAGACTGTGAAAATCAACTTGTGCTGCTTCTTGGTTACGATTGCTTCGATTTCATTAAACAACTTAAACTTAATCGTCAAATGATTTTGTATTGCACTATGCTGGCATCTGCCCAGACGGACAGCGAAAGACAACGCATACGTGAAAAAATGCGAAATGATCCTAAGTTGGCGAAGATTTTAGTTCAACTCGATACCGGCAAAACTGAGGACGATGAGGGGTACGGCAACAATTCACGAACAAGTAAAATGGATAAATCGCAAATGGATGATGGTGGCCAGGGTACGGCCGGACAGGTTGCTGGTCAACGCCAAGTATTGGAATTGGAAGAGTTGGCTTTCACTCAAGGTTCACATTTTATGGCCAACAAACGTTGTCAACTGCCGGACGGCTCTTTCCGCAAACAACGTAAAGGATATGAAGAAGTTCATGTGCCGGCATTGAAACAGGTTCCATTTGAGGATAAGGAAGAACTACAGCCCATCGATAAATTGCCGAAATATGTGCAGCCTGTTTTCGAAGGATTTAAGACCCTTAATCGTATCCAGTCACGTTTGTGGAAAGCTGCTTTGGAGTCGGATGAAAACATGTTGCTGTGTGCTCCCACAGGTGCGGGTAAAACAAATGTGGCACTGTTGTGTATGATGCGAGAAATTGGCAAGCACATCAATGAAGACGGCACAATTAATGCTGATGATTTCAAAATCATTTATGTGGCTCCCATGAAGTCTTTGGTACAGGAAATGGTGGGTAATTTCGGGCGTCGTTTGGCTTCGTATAATTTAACGGTATCCGAATTGACGGGAGATCATCAACTGACAAGGGAGCAAATTGCTGCCACCCAGGTCATTGTGTGTACACCCGAAAAGTGGGATATTATTACTCGGAAAGGAGGCGAAAAGACATTTACTTCCCTTGTCCGCTTGGTAATTATTGATGAAATACATTTGTTGCATGATGAAAGAGGTCCCGTTCTGGAAGCATTGGTGGCTCGTACTATTCGTAATATTGAAGTCACTCAGGAAGATGTACGTTTGGTGGGTTTGTCTGCCACTCTGCCCAACTATCAAGACGTCTCAACATTTTTACGTGTGAAACCCGACAAAGGACTTTACTACTTTGATAATAGTTATCGGCCTGTCGCATTGGAACAGCAATATATTGGTGTCACCGAAAAGAAGGCATTGAAACGTTTCCAAGTTATGAATGAAATTGTCTATGAGAAGACAATGGAGCATGCTGGACGCAATCAAGTTTTGGTGTTCGTTCATTCTCGCAAAGAAACTGGCAAAACAGCCAGAGCTGTACGTGATATGTGTCTGGAGAAGGATACTTTGGGTAGTTTCCTGAGAGAGGGTTCTGCCAGTATGGAAGTTTTAAGGACAGAAGCCGAACAAGTAAAGAATACCGAACTCAAAGAATTACTTCCCTACGGATTTGCTATCCATCATGCTGGTATGTCCAGAGTGGATCGTACACTGGTGGAAGATTTGTTTGCCGATCGTCATATACAGGTGCTGGTTTCCACTGCTACCTTGGCTTGGGGTGTTAATTTACCCGCCCATACTGTCATCATTAAGGGAACACAGGTGTACAATCCTGAAAAAGGCCGTTGGGTTGAGTTGTCTGCCTTGGATGTATTACAGATGTTGGGTCGTGCCGGTCGTCCTCAATACGATACCAAAGGTGAAGGTATTTTGATTACGAATCACAGTGAACTGCAATTCTATTTGTCACTGCTGAATCAACAGCTGCCAATTGAGTCTCAATTTGTTTCCAAGCTGCCGGATATGTTAAATGCTGAAATTGTCTTGGGCACGGTGCAGAATGTTAAAGATGCAGTCAATTGGTTGGGTTACACATATCTATACATACGTATGTTACGCAATCCTCTCCTATATGGCATTGGCCATGATGCACTCAAAGATGACCCTTTGTTGGAACAACGACGTGCTGATTTAATACACACCGCTGCATTGCATTTGGATCGTAGTGGTTTGGTAAAATACGATCGCAAATCAGGTCAATTCCAAGTCACAGCACTTGGTAGAATTGCTTCACATTATTATTGTACCCATGAAACGATGATGACATATAATCAACTTCTCAAGCAGACTTTGTCTGAGATTGAATTATTCCGAGTATTTTCCCTGTCTTCGGAGTTTAAACATATCGCAGTACGGGAGGAGGAGAAACTCGAATTACAAAAGCTGATGGAACGTGTACCAATACCGATTAAGGAATCCATGGAAGAGCACAGTGCCAAGGTTAATGTGCTGCTGCAGGCGTATATTTCACAATTGAAATTGGAGGGCTTTGCTCTAATGTCGGATATGGTGTTTATTACCCAATCGGCATCTCGTTTGATGAGAGCCATTTTCGAAATTGTCCTGCACCGAGGATGGGCTCAGCTTGCCGACAAGACCCTGACTTTGTGTAAAATGATTGATCGCAGAATGTGGCAGTCGATGACACCCTTGAGACAGTTTAAGAAAATGCCCGACGAAATTGCTAAAAAACTGGAAAAGAAAAATTTCCCCTGGGAACGTTTATACGATTTGGAACCCCATGAAATTGGTGAGCTGATAAGAGTGCCGAAATTGGGTAAGACTATACACAAATTTGTTCATCAGTTCCCAAAATTGGAATTGTCTACCCACATTCAACCTATTACAAGATCCACCTTGAGGGTTGAGCTGACAATAACACCCGACTTTCAGTGGGATGAAAAAGTCCACGGTTTATCTGAAGGTTTTTGGATTTTGGTAGAAGATGTAGACTCGGAAATTATATTACATCATGAATTCTTTTTGCTCAAGGAGAAATACTGTCAGGATGAACATCAATTGAAATTCTTTGTACCGGTCTTTGAACCTTTACCACCGCAATATTTCTTGCGTATTGTATCCGATCGTTGGATTGGCTCAGAAACCCAATTGCCCGTTTCGTTTAGGCATTTAATATTGCCCGAAAAGAATATGCCACCGACGGAACTTTTGGATTTGCAACCATTGCCCATTTCGGCATTGCGTAACCCCAAATTCGAAGAGTTTTATCGTGAGAAGTATCCCCAATTCAATCCGATACAAACACAAGTCTTCAATGCCGTCTACAATAGTGACGATAATGTCTTCGTCGGAGCCCCAACCGGATCAGGTAAAATGACAATTGCAGAGTTTGCGATTATGCGTCTGTTCTCCCAGCATGCTGATGGCCGTTGTGTTTATTTGGTATCTAAGGAAGATTTAGCGGATTTGGTATTTGCCGATTGGCATACAAAATTTGCCAATTTGGGTCTTAAGGTGGTTAAGCTCACCGGTGAAACTGGTACCGATCTGAAGTTGTTGGCCAAGGGCCAGTTGATAATTACCACTGCTGATAAATGGGATGTGCTGTCACGTCGTTGGAAGCAGCGTAAGAATGTGCAAAATATACAACTTTTCATTGTCGATGAACTGCAATTGGTGGGTGGTGAAGATGGCCCCGTCCTGGAAGTGGTCTGTTCGAGAATGCGTTACATTTCTTCGCAGATCGAAAAACAAATTCGAATTGTCGCCCTGTCATCGTCGTTGGCAGATGCTAGAGATGTGGCCCAATGGTTGGGTTGCAACACAAATGCCACTTTTAATTTCCACCCTAGTGTCCGGCCAATACCATTGGAATTACATATACAAGGATTTAATATTACGCACAATGCCACTAGGATAGCGTCAATGTCCAAACCGGTGTATAATGCCATTTTGAAATACAGTCCGCATAAGCCGGTCCTTGTGTTTGTCTCTTCACGCAAACAGGCACGTTTGACTGCCATTGATATACTGACATACAGCGCTTCAGATTTGCAACCAAATCGTTTCTTCCATGCCGAGGAGGAGGATATTAAACCATTTTTAGATCGTATGACAGATAAAACTCTTAAGGAAACCCTTTCTCAGGGTGTGGCATATCTTCATGAAGGTCTAACCGCCTCGGATCATCGTTTGGTGGAACAGCTGTTCGACTCGGGAGCTGTACAAGTGGCTGTTGTGGCCAAAGATCTATGTTGGGGCATGAGTATTTCAGCCCATTTGGTGATCATCATGGATACGCAATATTACAATGGTAAAAATCATTCCTATGAAGATTATCCCATTACCGATGTTCTACAAATGATTGGACGTGCCAATCGGCCCATTGAAGATGCCGATGCCAAATGTGTGCTTATGTGTCAGTCATCGAAGAAGGATTTCTTTAAGAAGCTGCTAAACGAACCACTGCCCATCGAAAGTCATTTGGATCATCGTTTACACGATCACTTCAATGCCGAGGTGGTAACCAAAACCATTGAAAACAAACAGGATGCCGTCGATTATTTGACATGGACATTCCTCTACAGACGTCTCACACAAAATCCCAACTACTACAATTTGCAGGGTGTAACACATCGTCATTTGTCCGATCATTTGTCGGAATTGGTAGAGAATACATTATCCGATTTGGAACAATCGAAATGTATTAGCATTGAAGATGATATGGATACGCTGCCATTGAATTTGGGCATGATTGCCGCCTACTATTACATCAACTATTCGACAATAGGTGAGTGGGGACATAATGTGAAATATATTCTATTAGGATTTGTTGAATTGATGATGGCAATATTTTGTTTTCAGAACTTTTCAGTTTGTCGCTTAACAGCAAGACCAAGGTTCGGGGTTTGTTGGAAATTATATCCTCTGCTGCTGAATATGAGGATATTGTTGTAAGGCATCATGAAGAGAATATTTTGCGGACATTGTCGCAGCGTTTGCCAAATAAATTGACTGGTCCAAATGAAACAGCACCCAAGTAAGTGAACTGAAGAAAACAATAGTAATGGCATTGCAAGCCGATGCAGGATTAAATATAAATTAAAAATATATATTTATCTTTCCATTTGCAGATTTAATGATCCCCATATTAAGACCAATCTTTTGCTGCAAGCCCATCTTTGTCGTCTCCAGCTGGGACCCGAATTACAAGGTGATACTGAATTGATTTTAGGAAAAGCCGTGCGTTTAATACAAGCCTGTGTGGATGTGCTCAGTTCAAATGGTTGGCTTTCACCAGCAGTTGCAGCTATGGAATTGGCACAAATGGTCACACAAGCCATGTGGAGCAAAGATTCATATCTTAAACAATTGCCGCATTTCAATGCTGACATTATCAAACGATGCACAGAAAATGTGAGTTTAAACTCCCCTCCCTAATGATATTTTGTTAATTATAAAATTATTTTTCTGCAGAAAATCGAAACTGTTTTCGATATTATGGAATTGGAAGATGAAGATCGTTCCCGCCTATTGCAATTAAGCGATGCCCAAATGGCCGATGTTGCACGTTTCTGTAATCGTTATCCGAATATTGAAATGAACTTTGAAGTTGTGGACAAGGAGCACATTAACTCTGGTTCAACGGTCAATGTTGTGGTGCAATTGGAGAGAGAGGATGAAGTAACTGGTCCAGTTATTGCACCATTCTTTCCACAGGTAAATTATTTTTGTTTATTATTTTCGCTATAGAGCAACTTTTAATCGATTTTATCTCATTTTCTTTTTACAGAAACGCGAAGAAGGTTGGTGGGTTGTTATTGGTGATCCAAAAACAAATTCATTGCTATCCATCAAACGTCTTACATTGCAACAAAAGGCTAAAGTCAAACTTGATTTTGTTGCACCCAGCCCCGGGCGTCATGAATATACGTTATATTTTATGAGCGATTCATATTTGGGCTGTGATCAAGAATACAAATTTGACATTGATGTGGGTGACTTCCAATCGGAAAGTGAAAGCGAATCGGATTAATTTTAGTTTTATACATAGGTTTGAAATATAACATTTGATGTTCTCTTTTTTTGGTAGTAATTTCTGGATAATAAAAATATATATAAATACAAATGTTTATTGTTTTTTAACTGTTTTTGGCAAACATTTGACAGGCGATTATTGTTGACGGGTTTAATGTGAAACTTAGAATTGTTCGTTTTTTTTGGATTTGTAAATACATTGGAATCCAAGCTGAAATCCCTACATTCAAAGTTTGCTAACGCCTGAAAGTATGCCAATAATTTTAAAATACATCATAGAAACATGGTTGGCAACACTACGATTTTCTTTAATTTTATGACGCTTACAATTATTTCAAACATTTTGGTAATTCTAAAAAATGTTTCGTGGTAATAATAGGTGTGTCTGGTTACTTTTCCAGTAACATTTATTCAGTAAGTTCTAGTTCAGAGAGTAAGCCTTTCTTACTCTCTTTTGCGATAATACTGAAAAAAGTAAACAGACAACATTTAGTAAGATTTAGCAAATAAACAGCTGATTCAAGAAAACATTTGATTTGCGCCAAAATAAACAACAAACAAAGGACGAACACAATTACTTGTATTGCATTTAATATTAAAAATAAAATGAATAATAAAAGAAAAATTGATCTGGTATGTTCCCCGGTAATATTTAAATCTTAGTCATGATTTAGATTAGGCGAGTTTACTTGCGGCAAGTCTTTATTTGTAGGAGAGAGGGGCAAGGGGAATAGAAATGAAAAAAAAAATGCTTGTACCGACAATTTTCTGGCAATTCGTTTTGTGTATTTCGTATTTGTTGACATTTTATATATATTTAAATGTGAAAAAACAACAACAAATAGAAAAATATTTTGGAAACCGAATTGCCTTGTATAGACGCATGAAGCAAGTTCAAAATAGAACGACAAGAATTGCCACAAGTAAACTCGCCTAATCTAAATCAAGACTTACTGAATAAAATTCTTTCAGTAAACTTCAGCAACTTTGTTGTTGTTCAACTGTCAAACTTGCTCTCTCACTTGACTCTCTTTTACTGGATTTTTGTGTAAACAGACAACATTTGGTAACAATTGTTACCAAATATCGAGTTAACAGACAGAGCTAATCTTTGTGTATTGTTTTGAATGGTGTGTCAAATAGATTAAGAAAAAAAAAAAATCAAACTCGCTACCTAATTTCGGGCGTAGACATGTCGTTTTTCACCACAAAAATAAAACGAAACTAGAAACCATGGCATAATTATTGCAAAGCTACAATCTGACTACAATTTTTTCTCAAGCTGGCTTGTTCTATCAAATCATAGGTATTTTAAGGGTCGTAACCTAATTTTTAACACAAATTGTATGAAAAGTAGGGCCAAAATCCTCCTGGCAGATAATTTACAATGTATGCCCAAGTTTTTGTTTGGTACCATGGTATAATTACTACAAGGTAGGGCACAGCTACCAACTGATTACAATTTTTTCTCAAGGTGGCTTGTTCCATCAAATCAAAATACATATTTTGTGTATGTGTGTGTATTGTTTTGAATACTATGTCAAATAAATTAAAAATAAATTGAAACATATTCAAATTTAATTGAAATGAAAATTTTGTTTTTAACATGTTCGCCTGGAAATAATTTCTTTCTTAAGGGCTAAACAGAATGTTCGCGTTGGGCGTTTTTTGTTATCGCGTTAACGCACGCAAAAAGTTAAAATATATTTAACTCCGAAGCGCAGCGCACATCAACTTCGAGCGTTTGTGTTATCGTTTCCTTGTGGTTGTTTTATTTCGATAACACATAACGCAACGGATGGCTCAACGCGAGCATTCTGCTTAGCCCTTTATGGATGAAACAAACATTTGATGGTATTCCCTACTGGATTTTGGGAAGAAATCATAACCATTCATTTTTCGCGTTTTTAGTTCTCACATAGACGGAAGTGAAAGTAAGATATCTAAACCTGCGGTGGCCTGTTATGTTCCCCACAATAATTTGTATCACCCTCTTTATATGAGACAATTGCGAAGAAGTCATACGGCAAGAGAATTCTGGCCAGATGGTTTTTGAAATCCTGCCGACTACATCGCAGTAGATCATACGAATTTTGTCAATAAAGTAGCGAATAGGAGGTTGTATAGATCCATCAATCGGTAGATTGGACAACTGCGAACCCCCTCGAGAAGCTCGTCGGCCATCTCATTCCCTTCTATGATATTGTGTCCTGGAACCCAACATAATTTAACTATCCGTTTTATATCACGAAGAGCATCCTTACAGTCGACTACTATCGACATATATAGTCAACGGTCCTATATTATGGGCAGTAAGTGTTTTGACTATCTCAGCCGCTTTCGTGATTGCCAGGATTTCTGCCAGAAAAACGCTACATCGTTAAATCTATATGAGTTGCAGATGGGTAGTTCCATGCAGTAAACATTTGCATCCTTCCTCCATCTTCGACCCGTCTGTAAATATCGGCAGACGGGCCAGAGTTAAGGAACCACTTGTCCAGGATTCCCTACTAGGAAACTCTAATGTCATTGAAGTCGTTATGAGAGGGAGGAGTATAGTCACTGATGTGAGCACTCCTCTGTAGAAGGTCATAAACTGACGTTGTTTTTAGTATAGTAGTATGGCCAAAGTTCAGCGACTTCCAGGCATCCTTTTCCCGGAGACTCAGGGCACAGCTTGCATCCTGGAGTTTTAATAGAACGTCCAGTGGTTGGAGATTCAAGATTGCATTCCTGGGGAGATCGAATTTTAGAAGTATCTCATTTATCACCTGAAGCCACAGTAGAGGATATAGTACTCCTCCCTGCGGTGTGCATCTTTTGATAGATTTCCTAACGAAACTTTCTCCAATGTCGAATTGATAATTCTGTTTTTCAGCATTCTATCAATCCAATCCGTTAGGAGAGAGGGAATACCTGAGCTATCGAGAGCAGAATGGATAGCTTGCAGCTTCACATTAGCTCTGTCTGTTAACTCGATATTTGGTAACAATTGTTACCAAATGTTACTAAATGTTGTCTGTTTACACAAAAATCCAGTAAAAGAGAGTCAAGTGAGAGAGCAAGTTTGACACTTGAACAACAACAAAGTTGCTGGAGTTTACTGAAAGAATTTTATTCAGTAAGATTTTGCAACTCAGCCATTTTCAGCTGTTTTCTGACCAAACACAAAAATTATTTAAAACATTTTTTTAATTTGTAAAGTTCAATTTGAAGTTAATTACAGAAAATAGAAGAAAATTCGTAAGTAATGCAAAGTTTCATTAAATTAGAAACTAATTCCTTATATATTTTTAGGCAAGTTTCAGATAGAGGGCAATGTATTGATGCAGGGAACTTAAATGTTCCCGGGGAACATACCAGATCAATTTTTCTTTTATTATTCATTTTATTTTTAATATTAAATGCGATACAAATAATTGTGTTCGTCCTTTGTTTGTTGTTTATTTTGGCGCAAATCAAATGTTTTCTTGAATCAGCTGTTTATTTGCTAAATCTTACTAAATGTTGTCTGTTTACTTTTTTCAGTATTATCGCAAAAGAGAGTAAGAAAGGCTTACTCTCTGAACTAGAACTTACTGAATAAATGTTACTGGAAAAGTAACCAGACACTCCTAATATGCGAATTATGGCTTCTTCGATTGCGTTTGAATATGTATACTATTGACTAATTTTAATTTCACTACCTCTTTCTCGAAAACCAATATACCCTCAAACTAACATGAATTTCAGTTTCAAAGTACTCTTGAAATTATTGAAGTAATCACGACGACTAGGAATGTCATCAATTTGCCTACCTCAGGAGATAGCACAGAGTATGCCAAATTGAGCATCTGACATGCATATGCCGAAATCACACTGATGATTGAACCAGACAACTATGGCCACATTGCAACTGCATTTACCGCGAAAGATGCCTGGGGGTGCATTGATAAACGCATATGAAGATACGGGCTTAACCAGGAAAGTGGATTTGCTGGAGCAATTCGTTACAGAACTATAGATCCATTCAGGAATACGAAAATGACATCGTAATAGTGGTCGGAAGATTGAATATAATTTGACAGAATCTCTAATGTTAGCAGGATTAACGAATGACAACAAGGAGAAATTGGCAGTGGAAAAGAGAAAAATCGGAATTGCTATCTATAGGTTTCAAGAAAGGTAACACGAAAATCAAATGCTACAATAGTAGTGGACTAGAACACATCTCAAGAAATTGTCCCAGCAAATCCAAGTCAAATTTAAATGGAACTACAAAGTTTCAACGACTTCAATCTATAACACAGACGGATGGGTCATATCTGAAATGCGAAATTAGGAGATGTCAAGAACGCAAATGTTGACATTAATTTCGGCAAAAAAATGTTTTGAACCATGTGTTGTCTGTGTGAAGGGAAAGCAAACTAGAAGAAAAGAGTTATTGGAAATAGTTTATTCGGATGTGGATGGTCCACTAAAAGAATGATCGTTTTCGGGAGCACATTTTTGTATTGACTTTTTGGATGATTATTAGTTAGTGGAAAACCAATGTTCTAAGAAAATAAAAATTCTACGATTGGATAATGGGAGAGAGTACATTGGCAAACGTTTTTCTGAATTCTTGGATAAATGTGGAATAATACATCGCAAAACATGTCCACATACTCCAGAGATAGATGGCGTAGCCGAGCAAATAAATAGGACGATTATAGAATGGGTAAGATGTATGCTCATTGACATCGTACTTGATAAATAGAGTTTCATGCGGGAAAATGAAAATTGCAAATTTAAAGCATCTCAGAGTTTTCAGATGCCCAGATAAGGGTCATGTACCAAAACAGAGGTCTAAAATTGATCCAAAGTTTTTAGAGTGTATCATGGTTGGATACAGCACGGAGATTAAGGCGTATCGATTATTCGACCCAAGTGACAATAATAGTCATCCGTGACGCATACAATACGATTATTCTCCTAATATATGATTTTCGAAAACGGTGTGCATACCGACTACAGTTTTCCTTTACAGTAAACATTCTGGAAACAAAATAACACGCCCACATGAATTTTCTGACATCACACAAATTGATTATTCGAAAATTCATTTCTAGTAACACAATTTCTATGTCTTAAAACTTCCAAGAACCGTCTCTGGCTTATTGTTTTAAATTATAAATTCGATGACACGACACATTCATCAAGAAACTAGTTTTATGGCTAGGTTTTTATAACCATTTCTAATGGTCCATCTGTACCAAAGAACCTTTTTAGTTGTTTCCATCTTCCATACATTTCTATTTATGTATTCTATTCTTCTAGCTGGCCCATTTTCAAATGTCTTTATGGTAGAATTTTGATAAATGATAAATAGTTTTTAATTATGGTGTTAACTACGTATATTTAAAAAAAAACAGGTTAGATATATGAATATTAAATTAATTTAGCACCAACTATATATGAATTAATTAAATTCGATAATATTCCGAACGATTTCACTCACTATAATAACATGAATTTCACATTAGAATTTTGAAAAAAAAAAACAGTATTTTGAAGATTATTTTCAAAAAGATGTAAACAAAATTGTTTGATTTTTCAAATTAATTTGAAATTGATTTTTCAAAATTCATGATTTGTTTTGTTTTTTTTTAATTAAGTATTGGCACAATACAATTTAATTAACTGACACCGCACTACCTCTACTATTGGCAATGTTTCCAGCCGGCCCGTTGGCAAAACTATTGGTCGAAGCAAAATTAATCGTCTGTCCATTGGGTAAATTAAAATTCAATGTGTGTGAGGCAGCGGCTGAATTTTGTGCGCCAAAACGATTAGCATTAAAGGCTTGAGTGCCTGTACCAGCCGCCGAAGCACCAAATGAGCCTGCCGGTCCTTGGGAATTGAATGCCTGAGCTTGAGCATTGGCAGCCGAGTTTTGGAATCCAAAGGGTGAGGCCAAGTTTTGATTGGCAAATGCATTAGAAATGGCTTGTGATTGTTGAAATTGGCGCTTAACACGACGATGCAAAATCAATGGCACCAGATTATTGTTGAATTCGGCAAAGATGGCACTGCGAGTGCGTCTCAGTTGAGGGCGAGGTTTGGGTTTGATGTACAGCGATGATTCGACAACGACCTCATCGACAGCAATATTGCCGGCTACATTAAATGAAGTGTTACAGAAATTTTAAAATTAATTTCAAAACAAAACCCCATTAATCCATTTTACACTTACGCAATGGTTGGGTCTGGATATTGTGCTGATTGGCAATATTCGAATCATCTACCGCCGCCACCACAGCAAGCCCATTAATTGCAACAAACATCAATAAAACAATAAAACACTTCATTGTGCCAATTCCGAGAAGTAGGCAATCGACCAGATAGTTACGTACAAATGAATGATCTTTACACAAGCAGCTCCAAAGACATACTGAACCAAAAGCGAACAGACATCGAACAACAAACATTATTGTATCTGATAGATACAAAGCACTCTCACTTTTCTCACATATGTTTGTATGGTGTATGGTGTGCATGTATTTACCTTTGGCCCACACTTTTTTCACATACACACACTCACTTCATGAGTCGCACAAGAAAGCCAGCCATCCCAAAAGAACCCCCCATTTAGAAAACACCATCTTCCACAGCCTATACCACACGGTGAACTTGAAAGTTCAGAATTCGTTTTTATTTTTAAATATCCTAAACTAGAGTATCAAGTTTTGACGACGAGAGAAGATGGGGCTGTAGACATGACATTTTTTGGGAACAGAAAATACGAGCAATTGATCACCATCTCCTTAGGAAATGTTATAATACTTCCTTATATAAACTGTCGAACAAAATTGCTGCAATGGGAAAAATAAAACTAAAAAATTATGAAGACATTATATTTGGTCGGACAACCACCTTACTGACGTGTGAGAAAATTAGTTTATAATCGCACATGAAACTACAGCGTACTGTGGACACCGACATCCCCGCGTTGTCACCTGGGGTAGCTACATTCATCACCCGTTTAAATAGTGAGTTGATACGTGCCGCGCGTTCAAACCATAAAGAATTATAAAAAATCGGTTGAGGCGCTGGGTTAGTTGCACACACTCGGAAAACCCCTCCTACTATGAAAAATCAACGAAAAAGAAAACCAAACCCGTCTAATGTTGACGACAATCGAAAACGTTTAAAGGAGCACGATTTACGAACCTGCATTTGGACACAGCACGGAGATTAAGGCGTATCGATTATTCGACCCAAGTGACAACAAAAGAATAGTCAGCCGTAACGTTGTATTTCTCGAAAATAGTCAAGCCAATATTCAAAATACTTCTTCCATCCTTTGCTAATTCAATCTCAGGATGAATAAAGTCATAACGTATTCGACCAATTAGTGAATACTGCACCAAAGAATATGGAGTTAAGAGAATTGAATGCTAATAATGAAATTCAAAATAAGTCTCGTAGTGATTCGTACGCCGATAGTGAGTTTTTAAGCTCAAAATGCCAAAATAACAACGGCTAATTGGACAAAAATGATGAAGAATGGAGCTAAATCGGCAAATACCAATATCTGATAATATTCGAAGTTCAGAAAAGATTGCAACCCTTTCCGCAACTACCTCTTGGTTGAGGCGTCGGGTTAGTTGCCTACACTCGGAAAACCTCTCCTACTATGAAAAAACAACAAAAAAGAAAACCAAACCCCCTAATATTGACCTCCGCAAACGTATAAAGTAGCACGATATGCGAATCTGCATTTGGTATTGCGCACTTTGTACAGAACAGGTGGAGTTTTCGCTTTGGCGAATGTATTCAAGCACAAAGTCGATATTATTGCCGTACAGGAAATGCGATGGAAAGGGACGGTATTATAGCTGCCATGAAACGAGACATGAATTTGACTGCGGATTTAATAGGAGAAGACCTCGCCTCCAATTTCACTCCCGTAGATGAGCGAATTGCTATAATCAGTATTTAAGCGAAGTTCTCTACATCAGTCTTATTTGCGCCCATGCTCCGACCAAAGACAAAGATGAGCAGACCAAAGACATTTTTATGAGCGCCTAGAAAATCTCAGCTGGGAGATTTTCTAGGCGCTTCTGCAAAAATCAGAAGAGAAAATATTATGGCCCCACCGTCGGAAAATACAGCCTCCATGAAGAAACATACTGCAACGAGATGAGGTTGATTGATTTCTCGGCAGCAAAAAAACATGGTAGTTAGCAGCATTAGATTCAAGCGTCTCGATATACACAATGCCATCTGGATTACTCCCGATCAAAAAACGAGAAATCAAATCGATAGACGGAAGGTACCAGTGTATTAGACGTTCGATCGAGGAGCGAATATCGATTCCGGCCACTACCTCGTAGCAAACAAGGTTCGCACCTGTCTTAATGTATCAGCAAAGGTGCGATCTAATACAACACATAAACTCGACATAGAAAAGCTGCAAACACAACAGGTAGCAGAAGCCTACTTCGCTCAATATACCCACCTGCTTGACGACAGCACTCCTTGCACACCCAATAAAAATATAGAAGCACAATGCAATGAATTGCCCACTCCCTACAAACTGGGTACCAAAAAACTACGATCAAGAAACCGATGGTACGATCAGGAGTGTCGTAATACTACTGATATTATACGCAGCGTATATGGCAACCCTTCAGACAGGAGCAACACGTAATGCGATGGCGAATTATCTGGAGATAAGGAGAGAGAGGAAATGTATTTTCAGAAAAAAGAAGAACGAATAAGAAAAACCTGAACGTGAACAAATCGAGGTGTACTGGAGTCAGAAGGAAGTCCGGAAATTTTACCAACGAGTAAAACACCGAACCGAAGATGGAAACCTGGTGACAGATACAGATAGCGTGTTGAGGATCTGGAAGGAGCATTTTGCAAAGCTTCTGGTATCAAATAGTAACGGGGAAGTAGATACCCCAGAACCAATTGGAGACGACGGTATAGATTGTTTACCACTTAGCCAATATGAGATCAGAGTAGCAACTCTAATCGACTGAAGAACAATAATGCAGCAGGTGCCGATGGATTACCAGCCGAACTATTCAATACCGGTGGTCAGATGCTGGTTAGTACAATTTGGCTAGAGAAATGCATATCCAATGATTAGAACCTCAGCATCATGTGTCCCGTGCACAAAAAAAGAGACAAGACAATATGTGTCAACTGTAGAGGAATAATATAAAGTGCCATACAGCATGCTGTGTCAACGACTTAAGCCAATGGTCAATGACATTTTTGGACCATACCAATGTGGCTTCAGGCCTGGCAAATCCACCATTGACCACATTTTCACTCTGCGCAAAATCTTGGAAAAGACCCACGAAAAACACATCGACATATTCCACCTATTCGTCGACTATAAAGCAGCATTGGACAGCCCTATCCGTTCGGAGGACTTTAAAGCCATATATGCGTTCGGTATTTCAGCAAAATTAATACGGCTATACGGGATAACTTTAAGTGACACAGGGTCAGCACTTAAAGTCGGAAAGGGCCTCTCGGAGCCCTTTAATACCTAACGAGGATTCAGATAAGGTGACAGTTTGTCGTGTGACCTGCTTAATATCCTGCTGGAAAAGACCATACGAGATGGGAATGTGGACAGAAATAGCACTCTGTCACCAAACAGACCGACGCGCCTAGAAATCTTTTTTAAGCTCAGCTTATGGAACAAATGTTCGGTCACAAGCCAGTTATGTAAGTAAGTAACAAATTGTTCTTTATAATATCGAAAAGAGTAGTACAAATTAGTAGATTCTTGCCGTACAGAAACAGACCAATAATAATATAATCTAAATTATAGAAATAATGCGTGTGGTTTGTTTTCACGAAATCGCAAAGGGCTGAGCATTACTGATATAAAAACTTAAATTTTTAAATCGTTCACTTTCGTCCCAAACTGTATAACATAAAATAAAAACAATGTAGGAGACAAGAAAATAAAAGACAATACCATTGCTGGCAAACTTGTTTTCCAAGATTTGGTGGTAGGTGTTATTTATTGCATCAATTGCTGGAACTTGTTTCCTACAAAAAATCGAAATTATTCATATTGACATGTGTGAGCAACGAGACCAATCCGAAATAGATCCATAACAGATGATTGCCACCCATTAAAGAGAGAATATGACAGAACACGAAATGAGAATTATCTCTTTATAATAGTTGCTAAATCTTACTATCACAAAATAGAGATGTCGATGCAGAAATTGGTGGGATGGTATCAGCGTTCGAAAATAAACATTATGGTACCGTTCCATAGTGTTCTGTACCGTACCAAGGTTGATAGGTACACTAAAATAACGTACTGTACCGGTACACAAACACTAAAAATATTTTTAGCGTTACTGTTCCGGAGCACAACGAAAATCTTAGCGTACCTGCTGCGGTACACTAAAAAATCGTAGTGTACCGACAGCGGTACACTAAAAATCGTAGTGTACCGGTAGTGGTACACTAAAAACTGTAGTGTACCGACTGCGGTACATTAAAAATCATTGTGTCAGACTGGTCGGAACACTAAAAATGTTAGTGTTCCGCTGGTCGGAACACTAAAAATCTTAGTCTTCCACTGGTCGGAACAATAAAAATCGTAGCGTTCCACTTACTTGAACTGTACTGGTAGTGTACCATACACGTCTGTTTTTTTTTTGTAGGTAAAATGAGATAGAATAATAAAAAAATAAAACTGAATATAACTTTATTTGCAATTACAAAAGTGAAAATGTCTATCAGAAATAGGTATTTTGGCCAGTTTTTGTGACAAAATTATTCGGCTTTGGATAAAATGTTCATTGATTTACACAACGAACATGATTTTTCCCATAATATTGGGAGATCTCCTTGTAAAATGTTAGTACGAAAACATTATTTCTTAAAACCATTATACCTGCATCCATCTATGATTCATACTTTTAGGAAATTTTAGCAAAAATATTCAAAATTTGGTTATTGTCACACAATCAACATAATAATTACCTGTTTATTCATTAAAAGAAGTGTACAAATTACGCGGATATGAAAACATATTTTTATGATTTTGGGATAAATATTACAAAACCACACACAGGTACCATATCAACAACGAATTTCATATAAATATCCATTATTGGAATATTCTTCCTTTTTATGATTTTTGCACAGGTAGTCTTATGCTATACATTTTTCCGATCAGCACAATCGATTATGGAATTTTCAGTTGCGAGTTGGCATCTGATTGAATTTTCACTAGACGACCTTTTTTAGTTATAAAATATTTATTATGTTAAAGCGTTTGATGCTAATAAAATATTACTAATTTTTAATAAAATATATAAAAAAATTTAAAAAGTTTTAT